TTCAAATCGTATTTTCCTAATTTTATAAACCAATCCAGTGAAGTGAGTTCACAAAGGTGAAAGGGACAGTTTCGAAGAAGGGGATTTTGGTCTAGAGTTTCATAGAATGGAGATGGAGAAAGGAAGAGAAACAAGTTACAGAGCAAGAGAGGGAGAGAGAGAGAGAGAGAGAGAGAGAGAGAGAGAGAGATACATTGAGGTATGGAGCTTGCTAAAACGAGGAGGAAAAGAAAAGGGCAGAGGAATAAACTCATTCTTTGGTGCTTGGCGCGAAGGAGCTCTGGCGAGATCATGTAGAGATCTTCGTCAACAGCTTTGGGAGCTTTTCTCCGTGGTAGAGGATGCGGCGGCGAAAGAAAAACAAGTCTTGGAGGTGGCAAGGGCAGTGGCGACGACCGAGAGAGAGAGGGAGAGTAATTTCTAAAAACGTTTGGGATAAAAAAAGGGTCTAGGGATTTGTCAAAAATAATTAATGAGAATTTTGATTTTGACAAAATTTGGATGTTTGTTCCAAATTTTTGGAGAAAATTATTTGGGGGGAATTATGTAATAATCATTATAAAAAAAAATTAAAACATTTAGAATCTTATAATAAAATAAATTATTAATTTATAATTTTGTCAATTTATACTCAAATTTTATTTATTTATTTTTAATATAAATCCATCATCTATTTTTATTAAGTAAAATTAATAAAAAAGAGTATTTTACTCATCAACTATAAAATGTATAATCACACCATTAATTGGCGTAATAAAAATATTTGAAATTTTAGAAACCACAAATATCATAATCAAGTCACAAAATTTTGTAATATAAAACACAAAATACATAACAGCATCACTAATTAGCGTAACAAAATTGTTTAAAATTATAGAAAATCACAAATGTCGTAACTAATTCCCAAAATTTCGTAATATTAACCAAAAATTATGTAACAATCCACTAATTGGTGTAACAAAAACATCTAAAATTTTTAAAAACCATAAATGTCATAACCAACTCACAAAATCTAATAACATCGATTGTAAAATACACAACTGCACCACTAATTGGCATAATAAAAATAATCAAAATTTTTATAAATCACAAATGTCATAACCAACTGATAAAATTTCATAACATTAATCACAAAATGCGTAACAACACAACTAATTGATGTAGCAAAAATATCTAAATTTTTTATAAACCACAAATATCATAATCAAGCAACAAAGTTTCATAACAATTATCATAAAATGACTAACAAATCACTAAAAATCGTAGAATCACCAATCGGATCTCTCATGATATAGAGAAAACAAAATGTAATGACAATCATTAAATAATTTAATCAACGACTTAAAGTCATGGAACAGAAAATGAGAGTTAGAGAAGATTTACCAGAAGAGCGAGAGGAAAGTGAATATGAGAAAGAGAGACTGAACGGGCTTATCGCCTGTGAAAATGACGTCAAAGGTGATGTCGTTTCCGATAAGGAACATCGGAGATATCTACAGTGACAGTAAGGAATGAGAGAGATGATTGAGGGATGAAGAGGACTGAGATAGCAGAACAGTACAACAAAATGCGTAATATTCATTTTTCAACAGTTCTGTAGCACATGTACAAATTGATAATAACAAAACCTTTCAAATCATAACTACGGCCAAAGGTTTGTATATGTATGACATATTAATGTAAAAGAGCTAGAGTTTCAAGATAGATGCATTTACTAGATAGAGAAAATATCACCATAATGAATAGTGTTGAAATAGACAAAAAGTAGTGACGAGTTCAAGGATCTATTGTAGAGACACAGGAGTAGAGAGATGAAGAATCCAGTGAGGAAGAACTATCAACGATGGTCATTCGATGATTTGAGCAAAATAGAGAAGTCTGATTAAGAAATAAAGAGAGCTCAGGACAAATCAAGGGAAAGAAAATTGAGTGGAGAAAAAAATGAAAAAAAAGTTGGGAAAAAAATTTAGGAAAAAAATTATTTAGTATAACAAAATAAAATCACGCCATAGATAATTTTTTTCAACATATTTTTTTATTAAAATTTAGTTAAATTATATAAGTGTGTATAGATATTTTAAAAAGTATATCATTTGTATATTATTATTTCTATTATATTTAATGAAGATACTATGACTAAAAATAAATCTAAAATAGAGATAGGTGATCAATTGCAATTGTCACTTAGGGATGAAACTTCAAAATTAATTGAGAGAGTTAACAGTTCAAAGAGAATGAGAGTTTGAGAGATAGATTTGTTTGTGAGAAATGAAATAAGAGAGGGGGTGGCATTTATAGGACTTGGGAGGGAGAGGTTAATTTATACATATAAAAATAAAAAAATAAAATTGGTTGTTGGTGGAATTAACGGTTATATGACTGTTTCAAATTTTTTTTGTTTTAAATTTTTTATTATTACACTGACAGAGGGGACAGGGAGCCATTGGGGTCGGGTCGAGCCAGATAGGGAAAAAAATTTCGAGGTGAGCTCATGAGATGGGTCACACTCCATAACACACCAGGGTCAAGCCAAGCCCTAGAACACATAGCCCAGGATCTTAGGTTGGGCTTAGGCTCTAGCCTAGTTGGGCTTACCTAGGGCGCAAGCGGACTTGGGGTGTGCCACGAGCTCATGGGCCAAATTTATACCCCCATATGTGGGCAGTGGTTATGAGATATGTGATTAATGGTTATGATATATGTGATGTTGATTATGAGACAAATGGTGTTGGTTAAGAGATGTGGTTATGACATATGTGGGTAAAGGTAATGAGATATATGATTAGTGATTATGAGATATGTGATTTGGTTATGAGCAAAGTGGTGCAGTTATAAGTCAAATGGTGTTTGGTTATGAGATATGTGATTAGTGGTTATGAGATATGTAATATTGGTTATGATCAAAGTGGCGTGGTTATGAGATATGTGATTAGTAATTATGATATATGTGATGTTGGTTATGAGATATGTGGGTAATAGTTATGAGACATTTGATTAGTGATTATAAGATATGTGATTTTGGTTATGAGCAAAGTGGTGTCAAAGAATATTTGGTTATGCTATATGTGTTAGTGGTTATGAGATATGAGATATTGGTTATGATCAAAGTGGTGTGGTTATGAGCAAAAATATGTTAGTTATGAGATATGTGACTAGTAGTTATGAAATATGTGACGTTGGTTATTAGATATGTGACTAGTGGTCATGAGATATGTAATGTTGGTTATGACTCAAAGGGATTGGTTATGAGATGTGATTATGATTCATGTGGGTAGTAGTTATGAGATATGTGATTAATGGTTATGAGATATGTGATATTGATTATAATTAAAGTGGTGTGGTTATGAGCAAAAAGGTGTTACTTGTGAGATATATGATTAGTGGTTATGAGATATGTGATGTTGGTTATGACAAAAAAGTGTTGGTTATGAGATATGTAATGTTGGTTATGACTCAAAGGGGTTGGTTATGAGATGTAATTATGATTCATGTGGGTAGTAGTCATGAGATATGTGATCAATGGTTATGAGATATGTGATATTAATTATGAACAAAATAGTGTTGGTTATGAGATATGGTTATGAAATATGTGATATTAGTTATGAACAAAATGGTATTGGTTATGAGATGTGGTTATGACTAAGTTATGATCAATTTGATATAGTTATAAATAAATATGATTTTGGCTCATAACTATAAAATGTGACATATTTAGCATGTCACTTTTAATAATGTGGTTCAATCTTAACTATTGATTTTCTATGTACGGTATATTTATTTAACAAAATGTACTATAAACTTTCCCTTATGGTGGTATTTTGATTAATTTATGGACCATCGTGAGGATGTGAGAATATAAGGAGAATTTGTATCGGTTATATTGCAAATGAGAAATTTGCATGAATGGTCTTATCTATACTATATATATATATATATATATATGTATGTATAAAGCTTGCTACATGACTTGGATCAAGTATTTTGGGTCTTTTTTTTTTTTAACATATAATAAGATGTTACAGGTAAGTAAGTTAAATTATAATGAAAGATTGCCATTGACTCGAATCCTAAATTCTGACCTTTTCACTGACTAGCAGGCCAACTACCCTATCCACTTTGGTCATGTTTGATTCACAAGACTAATAGTGAAGTATTAATAATCCTATTAAATTAGTGTAGTATTCATTATCCAATTGGATTAATATCCATTGGATTAATAATCCCACCCCTACCCCATTACTAATAATCCTACAAATTTGTTGGATTAATTATCCATTGGATTAATAATCCTAAACCAAAATGTTAAAACAAACATAGGATAATTGGGCCCACAGATTAATAATCCTAATCCCATACTCTAATCCTTCCAATCAAACATGCTTAGTGTTAGTAGACCCATATTCTTAAATTACTTTTTAAATAAGGTATATTACACTAGCCTCTCATGTTTGAAAAATAATATATTAAACTTACATAAATTTGATATAATTATATTAGACTATCTTGATATTTTAATTCATATTACACTTAATACATTTTCAACAGTAAAATATATATGTTACTCTAAAATATATACTAAAATATATATGTTATCTTTGTTTACCTCAGTATTTACTCATTATTACATTAGTTTATTAGGAAGTCTGTGTAATTATCATAAACTTGTGAAGCTTTGGAAGATCAGGGCAATTTATTCTTATTTTTATCCTTTTGAATAAGAAATGTTATTTGTTATCTTTACTAGAATTAGGTTAGAGATGCAGTTAAACTGTCAACATCTAAAACTTTGCAGGGTTGTTCAACTTGTATAAACTTTTCTACCTTGTGGGCCATCTACAGTGTTTATGCGGACTTCAACATCAAAATAAACAACCACCTTAAAATATCCCTTGAAATTCTTAAGAAGTTAATTAAGTACATAGGAGGTTAGAAAGGAAAACAACAGCAGTTTTTGTACTTACTGCCTATATTACACGAAGCTGTACACTTAGACATTCAGATAAGAGCACGAAATATGTATTGAATATCTCTTATATAATTGTATATAATACTATACATATATATATATATATATTGTATAATTACTATAAATCTTTTTGCACTGTAAACAATTTTATCTCACATATTAGATTAAAAAAATAAAAATATGACATTTTTTTGTCGAGTCAACGCACCCTTAAATTTATGATTTGACACATCCGACCTCTAGATATATATCCGCACCTGACATCTATATCCGAGTCCATATAACATAGCTTACTGCAATCAAGGTCAAAGAATTGTGTTAGGACAAAACAAAACCAAAAAAAAGAAAAGAAAAAAAGAACCAGTGCACGATACCATCGCTAAAACAGAATCTAGTGAAAGTAAGATGTATTTCGTTTTACCCCATTTTTAAAGGAACTAATTCCAAGACTTAAATCTGGGTCACGAGGGACGAACAAGCAGCCTCAGTACTCCTGCTCTGCTCAATGAAGAAGCCTCTCTCCTTTTCTTCCCCTTCTTTGCCCTCATTTGTCACTGACAAGTATGAAGAATCTTCGACTGACCTAGCAGGTGAAAACAAGAAAGGCTTGGGTGGAACTTGTAAGCATTGGATGTTTCCTTCCAACATCTCCACCACCTTACTCATCGATGGCCGGTCCGACGGATTGGTCTGAATGCACCACAACCCCACTATGATCATCTTCCTCGATGTTTCTTCTTCCTCTTCATTTGTGACACCATCGAGTCTTAGATCCTCACCATGTTTGAGATTCTCATAAAACAAGTGTGGAAAATACATTTCACTTGATTGGACTACTCCACCTTCATAAGTATTTCTCGCTCTGGTCATCTCAAGAACCATCATTCCATAGCTATAGACATCGGATTTATGAGACACTCCTCCAAAAGCTCGCGAAAACACTTCTGGAGCAATATATCCAACAGTCCCTCTCATTCCCAACATTGATATCACACTCTCTTTCTTTTGACACAGTTTGGCTAAGCCGAAATCAGAGATTTTTGGGCAAAAATCTTCATCTAAAAGAATGTTCTGAGGTTTTATGTCAAAGTGCACGATCCTCGTGTTGCAACCTCCATGTAAATACTCTAGACCTCGCGCTATGCCAACTGAAATTTGGTACATTGTCTTCCACTCCAACCGGGTTTTTGTATTTAGACCTCCAATATCATATATGAACTTATCTAACGATCCATTGGGCATGAATTCATAGACCAGAGCTCTTTTGTTCCTCTCATAACAGAACCCTAGCAGAGTAACCACATTGACATGTGAAGTTTTACTGATACTAGCAACTTCATTGATGAACTCCTCTCCGTTTCCCTTGGCCTCATTCAATAACTTGACTGCAACAAGACCACCATCAGATATCTTTCCTTTGTAGACAGTTCCATACCCACCTTGGCCTAGTTTATCTTCGAATGAGTTGGTCATCTTCTCAATATCTGAATGGCTGTACCTCTTTGGTGCAAGCGATCCATATTGCCTCATAAACGCTTTGACATTTTGATCATCTTCCCTGTCCTTCTTCCAGAAGGCCACCGCTTTGACTGATGCTATGCACCGTCTTCTACGGCAGTAGATTTTTATGATTATGAAAATGATCATCCCAGGCAAACTGAGTGAGAAGGCTGCATATAAAGGATAAACAGAGAGCTTATTAACGGTTAAAATTGTACCTCTAAATCTTCTCAGGGATAAACAGAGAATTTATGCCCAATTACAGTTCTCTTCCAAACAGTTTTTGGGGCAAAATGTTAAATATTTAGCTTTGTTTAGTCCAAATTCTGAGCAACATATATGTATGTATACCCTATGAATGTCTTTTGATTGTGTTTGGATCATGAATTTGAGTAGGAGTTTGCAGAGGGAAAGAAAAAGAGGAGAAAGGTGAAAAAAGTCATCTCATATTTTATTCACTTCACTGTTCCTTGCGCTTTGCAAACCCCTTCCTGAATCCATGATCTAAACACAGCCTTAATCAATATGATAGGAGTAAGAGTCTAGAGTTTGTGTTGGTTTCACATTACCTATACCAATTTTCAACCAAACCTGGAGCCCTTTAGTTGATCCTGTAAAAAAAATACATAAAGTAAAACTTTGTGGCTGGCAAGTTCATACTGCAAAGTTAGAAAAATGGATGGAGTGATGGAGAAGTGATTTGGGACAAGAGGACAGAGGAGAGTCGGATAGAGACTCCAGTTCCCTATCTTGTTAATTCTTAGATGCAAACATACATTTATTAGAAAGCCAGCACCTTAATTTTAAGGCTGGTAAAAACTTTATGGTGAAATTAACTTTAAATCTCTCTGAGATATCGTGAGGTGTATTGTATGTTTTATTGTGCACTCAGATTTTAAGCTTTTAACAGAAAGTGGCATAATAAGAAAATACAGAGACAGTGATTTAATCAAATTTTACAGAACAAGTTCCATTATAACTATGTGCAAGGCCAAAAATATTAGCAAATTAACTAAATGAATTTCTAAAAGCAATCTGTAAAAAGGAAAATTTCAAGAAAATTAAAGACTTTAAGAAAGAAAACTTATATGAAAAAGCTTGTTGAAGGCGAATTATGGTCCCAAAAAAGAACCAATAAAATTGCACATACCATTCTGAGTTGCAGAACATGAGGATGCATAAGCTTTATCTGAGCAAAAGCAAGTAAATGAGCTTGAACCCGATTCATACCCACATTGCCCACCCGATGCGACACATTGACTGCACAGATCACTATTTGCAGACCACTGCAACCCAAAACCACCATCAAGAGCTGCCTTTAGACTTGTTGAAGAAGATGAATTACCCTCCAGAGCCTGAGCTGCAGATTGAAAGACTGGAACTATGACACTTGAAAAACAACTTATCGTACTGTTGGAGAATGGTGTGCTTCTAGTCAGGTAATAATTTCTGTCATCAATCCCATTAACACTGCAGTTGAACTGCCCAGAACTGCGCAGTTGTAGAACTGGAATTTGGCTGCAGCCGAAAAACAGTGTCAGATTCTGCGCGTTGGAAGCGTAGCTGAAGAGAGTGAAATCAATGGTAGTGTTTTGAAGATTCTTGGGACAAGTACTATTCCAGAAATCCTGCCTGGCGATCATGAGAGTCTGTGTCATGTAATTAATTTCAAGAACTTGGTATGCTTGTGAGAGAATGGTAATCTGCGGGGCCTTGTTGACTTGGCAATCCAGCATGAAGCCCGGATGACCACAGTAGTCTGGTCTGTTGCCTCCCCAGAAAGGATAATCAATGTTCTGCATGTTTGCACACTGGAAGGTTTTGCTGCAGTTTAGAAATTGTTCGTCAGTGGCGTGCACGGATAATGGAATATGGATTAAGATGAAGATCAGTGTGATCATGAAGAACAGAGAGGAGGATGGAGATGGATGGAGATGCATTTTGACTTCAGAGAGAGAGAGAGAGAGAGAGAGAGAGAAAGCTGCTTATCTGACAGAGAGATAGAGAGATGGAGACTAATGAGTATTATAACAAAGTAAAATGGGACTGAAGTTTTTTTAAAGAAGGGAAAGAAAGGAGAAGTTTCACCATAAATAATCTATATTATTAGCTACGACTTTAATTGCACTCAAATAAGAAAAATAAAATAAGATTGAAAATTTTGACAACATAAGACACTTGGCCAATTGATATGATTAGCTTTGAAACTGTAAAAGTGCTAGGTAAATTGTAGACTCATTCTGCTTGAACATGTAGATATATATTATAAAATTAAATAAACCAATGGTCGTCACAACCAACTCCATCTTTTATGAATCTGATGAAACACCAATATTGTTGACTAGAGTTTATAAACATGGTGATTATTTCAGACTCAGTATTTGCGTACTGCTGCTTGAAAAGAATCAAATTCCATGCCAATAATAAAAATTAAAAAATTAAAAAAAACTATGTTTGTGATCAGATGATGATGTTTTAGAAACTTCTGACACAATAATTAGCAGTGCATCAATTCAAAGATGTAGCGGTATCCCACCAGAGAATGAGCTCCCAGAACCATAGAAGTAACCGATTCAATATACACACATCAACAATTCTGCTTTAACCAAACATTTATGGAAAAGCATCATCACTGAAAACAAAATTTTCATATTCAGATGAGGATGTTGATATAACAAGGAGTGAAGAAGAGAAAGCAAAAAAAAAAAAAGAATATTCCCCTATTTTCCCAATTTACCTTGTGAACACACAAATAACATCAATGATCTGTTCTATGAAACAAACTCAATATTCATCTGGAATTAAAGTTGATGCATTGATACTGAAGAAACACTATACTCTCTCTTTTTTTCACCAAATTTGATTCTTTTTTCTTTTTCTTTTTTTTTCATTAAACATTTTTGAAAATTTCTAAACTTATCCTAAAATCCAGTTTTAACTATTCTTTATGAAAGAAAATCATCTCCAATCCTTATTGTTTTTAAAATTTCATCAAATTTGAGTAAAATTATGCCTGATGGAAATTTGGCAAACTTTGATGAAATGATTGGAGCTCACTTTTCGCTCTTTATTCATCAAATTTGAATAATTTGATATAAGAATTGCTCCTACTCATTCAACAAGCTGGTATTAGAGATGTGATTAACAGTGGGACTTTTTTTTTTCCCGATTAATAAAAGAAAACACAACAGCTGTGGATAGATCAATTAATGTTTCCAAAATCAAATATACCCTCAAAATTGATACGAAGACGGAGACTCAAGTCGACGAAGAGCTCGAACATTACCGTGGAAGTAGAGAAGATTGATATGGACAGCCACGATTTCGTTGCCTCGTCGAGTCCGAAGCTTCAATACGTCGACGTTTGTCCCTCCTCGACACCTCCGGCACGTACAGTCGGCCAACGCCATGAAGGACAACGGGGCTAGTGGTGGTGACGGGTGGCGCGTGGGATAGGTAGGAGAAGCCTTACGGTGAAAAATTTTGTAAAGAATTGAATTGGGCGTTTTATTTTAGGGTAAATTACCAATACAACTGGCATTTAATTAATAAATTATAAAATGCCCTGTGTGGTTTGAAAAATTACAAATACCTCTTTATTAGTATTTTTTTATTTAACAGAATTAACTAAAAAAATAAAATTCATAATTGCTCTTCTATACAATAATAAAATTACCTAAATTATTAATTGAAACATATTTCTAATATTATTAAAAATTGTTAATTGATTATACAAATAAGTCGAATATTTTTTCCCATTCTTTTTACGTTTTCCACCTTTTGTTTTGTTTTGTTTTTTTGGCCATTTCAGTTTTTTTCACCTCATATATTCTAGCAAAAAAAAAAGCTAAAAATGCACTAAATATTCATTTTCCAAACGGATTCTTAGTTGCGTTACATTTATATGGAGATTTTTTTTAAGATCTCTGATATTAAAATTTTATAAGATAAAGGACATATAATATTTTCATAGTAGTTGGGGTCCCACAGAGCCGATTCGTGTTTTGAAAAATTCAACCGCTCTCCAAAATTCTCCAATTCACACAAGATTATGAACCCACTTCCCAAACCCCTTCAAATTTCAATACCCAAATCTTATTTTCTCTCACTTCCTCTCAAATTTCTCTGAATCTGATCCAATTTCTCCCCTGTTTTTCTAATTTTTTTTTTTTGGCCTGCAACAAGGACACCTCAAATTCTTCATCAGTTTGTTCCATAGTCTGGTCTTATCATGAGGTTATAGCTTTCAATTCCTCTGTGTCTCAATTTTTTTTTTAATATTCTGATCCTCTTTATTAATAAGTCTTTCTCTCTCAAAACCCCCATTCCTCCATTAATCCCAGGTTTATTTTCCTTTCTTTGCTGTGTGTTTTGAATTCGGTTTCCATTTGTTCTTGGTGTTCCAACTTGAAATTCCCATCTGGGTCTTGCTCAGTTTTGCTGAGAATTGAACCATGGGAATTCAAAAGGACAGAATAAAATTCAACGTGGGAGGCAAGTTCTTCGAAACCACATCAACAACCCTAGCCAATGCCGGCCGAAATTCCTTCTTCGGCGCAATGTTTGATCATCAATGGAACCTCCAAACCCTTAATTCCGACGAATTCTTCATCGATCGAAACCCCGATTGTTTCGCAATCCTCCTAGACCTCCTCAGAACAGGGGAGCTCTATATTCCATCCCATATCCCAGAAAAACTCCTCTACAGAGAAGCCATGTTCTATGGCCTTTTAGACCACGTTCGGACCGCGAAACGAGGCCAATTTAATGGAAATCGGCTCCGTTTTTCGCGGTCCAAAACAGGGCAAGCCCCCGGGGACGGCACGGCAATCCGTGCTGGCCCGGACGGCGGGTGCTGTGTGGCTCATGGTAGTATGGTCCATGTTTATGATTGGATGCTAGAAGAGCACCCTCCAATCAGTCTTGATTATCAGAGGATCAATGATGTGGGTTGGATCGATTCGGAGACCGTTGTGGTCACTGCATGTGAGCGGTTAGGGCGCGGCGATGGCGGGATGGCTCTGTTTTCTGCATCATCAGGGGAAATCAGGCATAGATTTCAGGTCAATCATGAGGATCAAGTGAAGAGTTACACAGCTGGTGCTTTGAGCTTTAGCACAGAGGATTACAAGATTTTTTCTAGTTGTAAAGGTAGAAGCAATGAGTATGGGATTGGTGTTTGGGACCAAATCACTGGAAAACAGATTGATTTCTACTATGAACCAATTGGTTGGTCACTTGGTGATGCAGATAGGCTTCAGTGGTTACATGGTACTAACTGTTTGTTGGTTGCAACTTTTATTTAGTTATAATTTTTTTTTTTTATAGTTATGACACATAAAATTAAAATTATGTCATTTTTCATTTTAGTTATAAAATGTTTATGATGCACACTTTTTGAAGGGAGTGTACCATAATATTTTTCAAACAATCACCCTACAAAGAGCAATTTTTCTATATAAATAAGATATATTTATATGATATCCTTTATTATTATAATTGTTGATAACAAAATATAGATCATATTATTAAAAATATTAAAAACATATTTATGATTGGTGGGAAATAAAGAGGTTGATACATTAGCATGTAAAAAATTTTCCCCCAACAAGACGCGCTTTCATGGAATGCCTTAACTACTACACACCAATTAAACAACAATGATTCATTCTCCTTTTTCCTCCACTTCCTTTGACCCCTCGCTTTTTCATTGGTTACATTTTTTTTTTCTTTTTTTTTTTTTCCTGCTCCCCCAATCACCACCCGTCACGTGGCAAGGGATGACCCGCAAAAGGGAATCCCAAGCATTATTAAGTGGTTATGAGAGGGGGAAAAAAAAGAGGAAAATGTTGTAAGTAGAGGACACCAAAAAGCAAAAATATTATAATTGTAATTGTTAATACATTCTACTTCATTATTTTAATTATTATTTTTTTACTTTTTGAATTTACTTAATTTGAATATACTTACAATTTACAATATTTGTGAAGAAATTTTCGAATATCAATAAATACAAAAAAATACAAAAATGCATCAAATTTTTATGTTTGTTGTATTAGTAAATTTTTAAAAAACAATTACAAAATTTTTAGTTTTTAAGTGTTTCTAAATTAAGTAGATTTAAAAAGTAAAAAAAAAAATTAATTAAAATATAAAAAACACAACTTGAAAATTAAGAAAATTATTTTTAAAAAATAAGCTCATAAAATAATTATCACAAGACCAACATCAATAATATGGTTTATTCATTTTGTAGGCGCACTATTTATGTAAATCTCATTTATAAAAAATAAAAATAAAAATAATTTTAAAGATACATGGAAGTGCACAGATATTGGAGCTTTCAATTGTTAGACCATGTTTGTTCTTTACAATGAAGTTTTTATATTTCTGAGAGGGCAATTTATAAATAAATTGAGCCGAGCTAGGTAATGGGCCGTTTTATGGGCCACAGTAAGATGGGTTGAGTAAATGGGCCTTGTAGGTTAGCCCGGTCCAAAAGAGCCTTATAGTTAGCTCAGTCACCACTGTCAGAGTAATAGCAGTTAGCTCGGCCATACCCTTCTGAGCCAAGGTATTTTGAGCTTTTCTCATGACCTTGCTACGGATTAGCTTGGTCCAAGCTCGTTATGGCTAGCACGGTCTCAGCAGGAGAAGCCAAGGTACACGCAATGAAGGGAAGAACCGAGTTAGTTAAAGCTCGGTCATTTCAGCCAGTTTAGCGTGGCTATGATAGCTCGGTCGTTTTGTTATACTACCGAGGTAAAACCATCTCACTTGGTTTAAGCAGTGAGGGGGGTGTTGAAGGATAAACATTATCTTTCAGGAGTGAGATTCCTAGGAGGATTCTACATGGAGGAATAAGAGTCCTATTAGGATTGTGCCATGCGAAACCTATAAAAACTCATAACATCACCTAAGGAGGGGTAACACAACTTTGATTCCTGAATTCACAGAGCTTTTGTGTCTATTGTCTATTGTGCTGACTTAGGCATCAAAGGGGTTTCCGGCACACACCCGCCGGTTAGCTCACGTTTGTATTTTCAGGTGGCAAAGCGACGACGTTTGGAGGAGTGCAAGCTTGATCAACAGAAATCATACAAGAAGAATTATTTCGTGCTCGTACAATTGGCGCCGTCTGTGGGAAGTCCACAAAGAACAAAACCTCTTGATCAAACTTTCCTCTCTAGTTGAGATCAATAGTGCACAATGAAGACTTACCGCAGTCCGCTATCGACGGACAAACCCCAGAGGGGGGTGGGAGGCGCAAAGGTTTGCCTTTTATCCCTCCCATGGCGGATTTAGAGCCCCAGCGACAGAACCCCCGGAGGGATGCAAGAGGAAGGCGGGGTAACAGCCCCCGTCACTCTCAAAGCCCCGAAAGGCAGAGGCGGAGGATTGACCCTTAGGTTCTGGAGGATCGCGTGAAGGAACAGGATGAGTTGATACGAAGGATGGCGGGAGACATGGAGTTGATGAAGCGCCAGATAAAAGGAAAAGGGGTGGCGACAGGAGAGGGGCGCAAAGGTAGTACGCCCCTTCGCCACTCGGAAGGTCGTGGTAGACAAACCACGCCATCACAAGTAGAGAGTAGAAGCCTTAGAACAGGCGACACTCAAACAAGGACGTCCAAGACTCGTTACTCCAAGTCTGAGAGAATGAGACCTGAGAGGTCATATACTGAAGGAAGCACCTATAGGCCCTCGCCCACGCACCAGACGGCATCCAGGCAGACGAAGTTGCCCAAATCGTCTGATTTGCGAACTGTGCTTGAAGAAAGGGCACGGTGGAAGGAGGATGTTAGGGCACGCGACCCGCGCGGAGTTTCAACCCTTCAGCGATTGGCTTCTCGGGCGCACGGAAGCGTCGAGGTAGGAATGCCAATACCATGCCTTGCCTACAAACCAATGGACAAAGCATTAGCAAGGTTGCATAGCTCGCCGTTCGTTCCGGCAATTGAGAACGCGCCGTTACCTTCCGACTTCCTCCAGCCTAAATTTACGACTTACGAAGGGAAGACAGATCCCTACATGCACCTAAGCCACTTTCGCCAGGTTATGGTAGTATACCGGCGGAACGAGGCTTTGATGTGCATTCTATTCCCATCCAGCCTTGGCGACCTAGGCTTAACTTGGTTCGAAAGGCTATCAGAAGGCAACATCGCCTCCTGGGCGCAATTGGCCGAGGCATTCGTGACTAGGTTCAGAACGAACACCAAAACACCAGTGGAGATCAATCAGCTACTCTCCATTGACATAGCGACAAGGAGACGCTGAGATCCTATAACAGGTGTTACTGGAAGACCTTAAACCAGATAGGAGATTGCCCCACCAATCTTGCCATCGTGCAGCACAAAAGGGGGCTACCAGTCGGAAACAAGTTGAGGGATTCAATAACTATGGCGTAACCCCTCACAATGGAGGCCTTGATGGAGGAGCGAGTGCACCAGTATATTCGGGTGGAGGAGGATGGTGCCCGTGCTAAAACAAAATCTGGCATAGCAGCGATACCAGATAAAAAGACTGCGGCAAAAGTCAATACGGTAGAACACCCCAACAAGAATGGGTGAGGCAGGCGGGCCAATAGAGAGGACTCAGACAAAAGATGGTTAAGAGTCCGCACTGCCATCACAACGGTGTTCAAAAAACCGATCTACTGGATTCTTAGTGAGATACGCTATGAACCTTTCGTCAGATAGCCAGCTAAGTTGGGAGAAGCACAGAAGGACTATGACGAAAGGTCCCGGTGCACCTTCCATAATGAAAAGGGGCACCGCACTGAAAATTGCACGCCGTTGAGATAGCACTTGGAGGAGTTAGTGGCAACTGGGCACCTAGACCAGTACATAGAATGAGGGACACAGCCAGCCCCCCAAAGCCACGACAACCCAAACAGAATGCCGATCGACACCCCACCTCAAGGCGTGATTAACGTAATACATGGGGTATTCGAACCTGAGCGAGTATGTGAACTCAGGGGAATGATCAAGAAGGCTGAGCACTTAAGGGAGGTACTAAGTGCACAACCTGCCACCAAAAAGGGGAGAACAGAGGCCACGAATATCATATCTTTTGCAGACAGAGACTTGGCAAAGATATATTGCCCTCACAACGATGCACTAGTTGTCACTCTCCGCGTCAAGGATTTCGACGTTAAACGGATTTTGATTGACCAAGGGAGCTCATGTGAGATAATGTATTACGAAACCTTCAAACAACTGAAACTAGAGGATAAAGACTTGGCACCCGCCGTATCCCCCTTGATCGGATTCAATTCAATGCCAGAGTGGCCAGTTGGCAAGATAATCCTCTCAGTCAGAGCAGGAAGCATGAAGAAACAAGTGGAATTCTGGGTATTGAAAGTCCCTTCCACTTACAACATAATCTTGGGAAGGACATGGCTGCATGCCATGCGATCGGTAGCGTCAACCTACCATCAAGTAATGCGGTTCCCCAACGAAGCCGGAGTAATTTAAGAGGTCTTTGGAGACCAAATTATGTCCAAACAATGCTTCGTCACAGTAAATGGCAGTCGCGCTGCCAAGGGGTATGTACAGTTGGTGGAAGAAACGGAAAGCAATGAGTTGTTCGTGGATGTTGGCAAATCTGCTGAATAGAAGGCAGTGGAAGACTTAGTACAAGTAAGGATAGATGAAAAGAACCCGAAAAAGTTCTTCTTGCTCGGTTCATCTATGTCCAGCACCGAAAGAATAGAGGTCATGGAATTCTTGACCTCTAACATCGAAGTGTTCACCTGGACGCCGTATGATATGCCAAGCATTGATCCAAACTTTATCTGTCACCAATTAAATGTCCATCCATCTGCCAGACCAATTATACAGTGCACTCGTAGATCGGCACTCCACCATGCCAAGATAGTGGCGGAGGAAGTGGGAAACCTTCTAGAGGTAGGAGCTATCAGAGAAGTGCACTATCCTAAGTGGATATCCAATACAGTGGTGGTGCCAAAGAAGAATGGAAAATGGCACGTTTGCGTGGACTACAAAACAGTCAACAAGGCATGCCTAAAAAATAGCTTTCCCTTACCCAGGATAGACCAACTGGTAGATCTTACAGCAGGACACAATCGGCTTAGCTTTCTTGATGTGTATAGAGGTTACCATTAGATTGCTATGTATGAGCCAGACCAGAAGGTCACATCTTTTACAACTCCTAGAGGGCTGTATTGTTACAAGGTCATGCCGTTTGGCCTAAAGAACGCAGGGGCAACATTCCAACGGATGGTCACCATGATGTTTGAACCATTGTTAGGCAGAACAATGGAGGCTTACATCGACGACATGGTG